TTTATAAAGCGGGACTTAAAACTTCATGCGGTTTTGATTCTGCGCCTCTCTTTATAAAAACCAAGGATTGTATTTAAGCGCTTTTTGGCCGCCAATGCTGTCTCGTGTTGAAGGGATCATCCAACGAGGACTCCAAGGTCCCCCTCTCCCAGTTAATGGTTTTTGTGCCAGGTTTCACCTAATCTGTCTATGTACCTTTGGTTTTTCCTGCCCAGGGGTAAAACCTCGGATTTTCTCCACATTAAATTTCGTCTTGTTGGATAAGGGCTCATTGTTGGAATTTGTTGAGGTCTTTTTGGGATCCTGAGGTTATCATCTGGGGGTGTAGGCTACGCCTTCCCGCTGAGAGTCATCTGCAAATTGGATGAGTTTCTTTTTCTATTCCCTCAGATAATCAGAGTCGGAAGGGACCTTGTAGGCCATCTAGTCCAACCCCCCCCCTCCCGCCCAAGCGGGTGACCCTACACCATTTCTGACAAATGGCAGTCCAGTCTCTTCTTGAAAGTTTCAAGTGATGAAGCTCCCACAACTTCCGAGGGCAACTTCTGTTCCATTGAATATAGAATAACAGAGTTGGCAGGGACCTTGTAGGTCATCTAGTCCAGCCCCCCCGCCCAAGCGGGAGACCCTACACCATTTCTGACAAATGGCAGTCCAGTCTCTTCTTGAAGGTCTCAAGTGAGGAAGCTCCCACAACTTCCGAGGGCAACTTCTGTTCCATGGGTAGATTGTTCTCCCTGTCAGAAAGTTTCTCCTTATTTCCAGGTTGAATCTCTCCTGGGTCAGTTTCCATCCATTCTTCCTCGTCTGGCCTACAGGCGCTTTAGAAAATAGAAAATCGTCTCAAATAGAAAATCATCCATGTCATTTATTTATTTATTTTGATATTAAAAGTTTTTTTTATTTTTATAACAACAACCAAAACAAACAATTTGTGAAGAATATGGAAGAGCAACACACAACTTTGCAGTAGCTTACTTCTCTTCGTGTAGAGGTAGTCCCATTAAGGACTACTCATTGAATATGGTGTGTCAGCAGTGATTTGATCCTGACAAAAAAATCATAAAATTACAGACATTAAATAAGTCATTTAACCAGTGGTGGGATTCGAATTTTTTTTACTACCAGTTCTGTGGGCGTGGCTTGGTGGGCGTGGCAGGGGAAGGATCCTGCAAAATCCCCCTTCCCTCCCCACCCCACTAACCTGCTTTCCAGTTCCATTCTCCTGTGCAGGGCAACCAAAGAAGACCCAGCCGATCAACTGGGACTCAATGGGAGGCAGAGAAGAGATGGGGTTGGCGGGGCCAATCAGAGGTGGGATTGGCCGGGTCTCTGGACTAACTCAAAATGTCCGCTACCGGCTCTGTAGAACCGGTCAGAACCGGCTGAATGCCACCTCTCTGCATTTAACAACCTCTAGAGGAGGGATGCGGTGGCTCAGTGGCTAAGACCTTGCTGATTAGAAAGGTTGGCAGTTGGGTGGTTCGAATCCCCAGTGCCGCGTCACAGAGTGAGCACCTAGCAGTTCGAAAGCATGGGGGAAAAAATGCAAGTAGAAAAATAGGGACCCCCTTTGGTGGGGAGGGAACAGCGTTCTCCGTGCGCCTTTGGCGTTTAGTCCCGCCGGCCACATGACCACGGAGACGTCTTCGGATAGCGCTGGCTCCTCTTCGGCTTTGTAACGGAGACGAGCCCTGCTCCCCCTAGAGCAGTGGTCGCCAATCAGTAGGCCAGGGACCACTGGTGGTCCATGAGAAAATGTTGGTGGTCCGCAGAGAAATGTCGCCCCCTCCCAAAGCAATTAATCCAGGCTGCGCGGGAACACGAGGCGGCACCACCCACATGGCTCGCGGGAACACAAGGCTTGCATCGCTTGCATTGTGAACAACACGCAGTAGGGAGGGGAAGGGGGAAAGGGCGGAGGGGGGGAACTTGCCACCCCATGTGTCTGGCCTGGCCACCGGGCTGCTTCTTTCCGCTTCTTTCTTCTTCTGCTTTTGGCTGCGCGCAAAGGAAAGCAGCCAAAGTCTTTCTTTCTCTCCCCCAAACTCCGCCAGAAATGAGACCCTGCAAGGCCTCCCGCTCCGAGAGGCTGCGCCAGCAAAGACTCATTTCTGGCGGAGTTTGGGGGAGAAAAAGAAAGACTTCTGCGGCTTCTGCTGCTTTCCTTGCATGCAGCCAAAAGTCTCTCTCTCTCTCTCTCTCTCCCCCTGAGAACGGAGCTGGAGACGGTATCCCGCAATCCCAAATAAAAAACGATCGATCGGCAGGAAGTTGGGGTGGGGCATTTTCCTGCAGACTTTTTTGGGGGGGATTTTCCCAGGGGGTCTCTGGTCCGCAGGATTTAAAATTGTGAGTTTGGTGGTTCCCTGAGGTCCAAAAGGTTGCCGACCCCCGGAAACTAGAGCTGGAAACAACTAGCACGTATGTGCGAGGGGAAACCTTTCCTTTAAAGGTAATTCAGGACTCATTTGAAGGCACGAAAAAGAGAAAGAAAAATGGCTATATTCTTTGGCCTGCAGGGGGTGCTTGCATTTCAAATGGTGCTAGTCCACATGGACAAAACGTCCGTAGAATTTTAACAACCTCATCCTTAACTCCCACACGTTGGCTGGATTATATAGCCTTTGATCCTTGATGAGATTGTTCCACTACAAATACACTCGACTCTTGCCGCCTCTTGATCATTAACATACCATAATGTGTTATGATAATTCTTCTCACTTCATCATAATTTAAACAGGGGTTTTCTGCCAACATTTTAAGATTATGTTTTAAGCCACTCAGCTGTGAGATTGGATTATTCTGATTGTTATTTCAAAACTCTCAGCATTTCAGCACAGGCTGGCCTAATTAATGATTTAATGAATGAATAGATAATTAATCCCAGAGTTCTCCGGATTTCTGGGAACGGCGCTGTATTCTGAATAAAGTCACAGCCCCGGTCCCTTAGAACAGAGCTGGCTGAAGGATTCTGGGAGTTGAAGTCCACAAGTCTTAAAAGTTGCCAACTTTGGAGACCTCTGCCTTAGAAGAACCATTGTTGTCGACTTCAACTCCCAGAATTCTTAGCAGCTTGGCAACTTGTCAGCGTACTAGCTGGGGGAATTCTGGGAGTTGAAGTCCACAAATCCTAAAAATGGCCAATTTGGAAAAACACTCTTCTAGAACCCCCTCCATTAATATAATATATATTATATGAATATAATATTTAAAAAAAAATCGGTGGCAAGTCAAGGACTAACCTGACCAGCGGAAGGGAAGTAAAATGAAGAGAATACAAATTTGGAGGGTGCCATTCAGAAATTAAAGGGATATATACATGCAAACAAATTTCACATTTAGCTTTTTATTTCTAAATCAAAGACACACACACACACACACACTTGAGAAAATTCCCTCCGCCACCCTTTGTCTCCCCTTCTGTGTCATTCCCCCATCCAGAGGGACTAGTAACTTACTTTTTTTTGTTAATGGGAACGTTGGCCGGAGCAGCCCTGGCTTTGCCACCCCTTCCTTCCCACGGATCTTATCTATTTTGAATTGCAAAACCATTTCCAAACAGCTGGGAATTGCTTTTCATAAAACTTGAAGCTGAATATCATCTCTCTCTCTGTGTTTCTGTCTGTCTGTCTGTCTCTCTCTCTCTCTCTCTCTCTCTGCTTCTGTCTGTCTGTCTCTGTCTCTCTCTCTGTCTGTCTGTCTCTCTCTCTCTCTCTGTGTGTGTGTGTCTCTCTCTCTCTCTCTGCTTCTGTCTCCCTCCCTCTCTCTCCGTCTCTGGACCGTCTGGATGGCTTTTCTGGTTCTCCACCTTGGGTGTGACTTCGCCAGCCTCCAACGCTTGCAAAACCCATCCGCTGATTCCCAGAGAAATCAGGCATTCAACCCCGAAGGGAAAAAACGTAAAATAAGTGGGGAGATTTTCCTGCCAAACCAGCTCGCCGTGATCTTACGGCAGATGCTGGCTGCGGTGTGAAGAGAGAGGCACAAGAGATTAGCTTCGGACGCTGTCCCGGGCGGAAAGGAACCACTTTCTTGGAGCTGGGGGTGAGAGAGGTGAGTGTGCCAGATTAAGGATGCGTGTGCGTGGAAATCTCCCTCTCCCCAATTTCCTCCCCCTCCCTCCCCCCCGTACTGTTAAGCTAGCATCTGTAGAACCTCCCTATTCAGGAGCAATCTACCTCTGCGTAGACAAGAAAGGGAAGTTTTCTTGCCCTGCTTTGAGGTTCTCCGCCGATGTCTTAAGAACGGATTGGCGTCGCAGAGGGCTTCCTTTAATTTGGGGTTCTTGGGGTACACTCTTCCATCCCTCTCCCAATATAAGCCACTTGCTGCAGGAAGCTTGTTAACATCAGACCTGAACTCGGGTTTAATGACTCCAATTAATCAGGCAAGGCTCTGAAGAGCAATTAATAGTCTAAATTAAACTCTTTAGAACGTTGCTTGCTTAATTGGAGAAATTTAACCTGGAGCTTTTATTTGATCTGGCTCCTCCACTTTTTTCTTCTTTTTTTTCTAATCCATGAGGACTAGAATCTTGGGATCTCAAGGGAGCACCGGCTGAACACGTCAGGTTTGGTGCTTTAAGGAGCGCTGGGGAAACGGTCCGCCTTGCTGGGGGAATCTCGAGGGAATCAAATGATCCTTCTTTTGGCTCAGATTCCTGAGGACTAGCATCTTATTTCATCTTTAGGGGAAAGCTAACGTCCCAAGGGGGTGTCAAAGATTCCAGGTTGGGTTTCTTTATTCTTTCTTTCCCAGGGAGAGCTGACAGCCCTTGCTGAGTCTGAATAAATAAAAGGAGATTAAAGTGCTGAATTGGCTGGCCGAGTGCTTTTTTTTCTTTCTTTCTGGAATTCAGCATCCCTCAAAGATGGCTAGCATCTTGAATTTCCTCTCCAAAGCATCAACATTTTTAGAGGAGAAAATTTGTCTGTTTGGCTTACTAATTTCAGGGGGGGAAATCCGGTCTCTTATTTTTATCTTTTCTTTTTAGCCTTGTTTTGGACGTTCAGGAAAATCGCTTTTTGATAGTTTCCAAGCTCCTCTTGAGTTGGAGAAGCGGCCATTTTGGATACTTACAGGTAATCTTCGACTTACGACTGCAATGGTTGTTCAGCGAGACAGTTGTTAAGCGAGTTTTCTTCCCCCCACCCCCATGTTTCTTTGGCCTCAGTTATTCTGTGAACCATTGCAGTTGCTCAGTTGGTAACATAGTTGTGTTAAACTAAATCTGACTTAAAAATGGCAAGTCCTTTTTTTTTTTTTCAGGGCCGTTGTAAGTTTGAAGAACGGTCACTAAACCAATTTGTGGCCAGCTGAGGCCTGCCTGGGTTTGAATTCCACAAGCAAACAAACCCCTTGTGGAAAGCGGCTCAGGATTGGACCAGCAAGACAGGCTGGGGATGATGGGCATTGAATAGAATAGAATACCTTTATTGTCATTGCATTCCACGAATACAACGAAATTTGAAAGCTTACTCCAGCACAGTGTCCCAAACACCACATCACAATCACACTACAGAGTATTTTAAAATAATAATAATAATAATAATAATAATAATAATAATAATAATAATAATAATAATAATAATACCTACTCTAAAACATTTAGTAAGTTAAATAGTTTTAAAATGCCACTATATACATAGGACTAAATCACAAATGCACTGTTTGATTCAGGACAATTATTGCCTTGGAAAATAAACTGTTTCTCAGTCTATTAGTCCTCATTTTAAGACACCTATAACGCCTCCCTGATGGTAACGGTTCGAAATACGAATGACCAGGATGAGAACAGTCTGTGGAGATTTTTAGTGCTCTAATTCGTCTTGGTTTTTGATACCCTCAAAAGGATCCTCAAATTATCTGTCTTCATCTCTTCTTTGAAATTCCTTCTCTTCTTTCTACAAACCTTTTGTTTTATTTTTCCTGCTTTTTTGCCTGCGGAAGGGTTCCAAAGGACCCCAAAACCTGCCTGTTTTAGAGGGTGTGTGTGTGTGTGTGTGTGTGTGTGTGTGTGTGTGTGTGAGTCCAGTTTGGTCCTAAAACGGACTATCCCTGTGGATATAAGACCAGTGAAAAGATGCCATGGGGTTTCAATTTGATTCCTTTCCACGTTAGCGTTAAATTTTATTGTTTTCATTGGAGGGTTGGGTAGTTGTTGTTGTTTTTTAATTTGGGGAAATCCAAGTTGAATGCCCCGAGAATGTGCTTCGGGAAGGGTGTTTAAGAAGGACGGCCATGCAAATCCCGGTAATAAAAATGAAATATAGAATCATAGAATAACCAGAGTTGAAAGGGACCTTGGAAGTCATCTAGTCCAACCCCCTGCTGGAGCAGGAGAAAATATAAATTAACATGTCATCTTTCTGTTTTGTTTTGGTTTTTATCACACCCAAGAAGTCCTGGGATTCGCAGCCATGTCTTGTGGGGCCCTTCAAATCTTCTTTGTCTCTTTGTGGCTCCTCCGGTTGAGTTGCTCCCCGACGGGTAAGTGTGTAAAATCCAAGCGTCAGCAAGTGTTGGCAAGTCCCGAGCAATGCCTGGCTTTGCACAATTCGTTCCCCTTGCCAAATGTGCCCTCAAGCCGGGATTAAAAAAACGTGAAAGGGTTGTGAATAGCCTATTTTGCAAATGACGGAGATGAAGCAATCCGGAATAGAGCCTCCACTTTCAGAGGCAATCTAGCTGCCTTCTAAAGAACTTCCCAGAGTTTCCCAGGCTAACGTTCCTGCAGGGTTAAATGTAATAAATTAGCACTGTCTAGTTCTAGAGGGGAAGATTTAGGAGCCAGGAGGTGGTGAGTTCAAGTCCTGCCTTAGGCATGGAAGCTGGTTGGGTGATTTGGGGCCAATCGCTAGGAGGTGCTGAGTTCTAGTCCCGACTTAGGGAGAAAAATTGGCTGGGTGACTTTGGGCCAATCACCAGGAGACTGGGAGTTCTAGTTCTGCTTGACACCTTGAGAATGAAACAGAAAAACAGGAGCCTAAGAAAATGTCTAAGAACAATTAGATTGGTTTCCTTCACCTTTAACAAGCCAATTTATTTCTTTCCTTCCATCCTTCTTTCTTTCTTTCTTTCCTTCCTTCTTTCTCTTTCTTTCCTTCCTTCATCTTTCTTTCTTTCCTTCCTTTTCCCTTCCTTTTTCTTTCTTTCTTTCCTTTTTCCTTCCTTTCTTTCCTTCCTTCTTCCTTCCTTCCTTCTTTCTCTTTCCCTCTTTCCTTCCTTTCCTTCCTTCTTTCCTTCCGTCCTTTCCTTTCCTTCCTTCCTTTCCTTCCTTCCTTCCTTCCTTTCCTTCCTTCCTTCTTTCCTTCCTTTCCTTCCTTCCTTCTTCCTTCCTTCTTTCTTTTTCTTCCCTTCCTTCTTCCCTTCCTTCCTTCCTTCTTTCTCTTTCCTTCCTTCCTTCCTTCCTTTCCTTCCTTCCTTCCTTCTTTCCTTCCTTTCCTTTCCTTTCCTTCCTTCCTTTCCTTCCTTCCTTCCTTCCTTTCCTTCCTTCCTTCTTTCCTTCCTTCCTTCTTCCTTCCTTCTTTCTTTTTCTTCCCTTCCTTCTTCCCTTCCTTCCTTCCTTCTTTCTTTTTCTTTCCTTCCTTCTTTCCTTCCTTCCTTCTTTCTCTTTCCTTCTTTCCTTTCCTTTCCTTTCCTTTCCTTTCTTCCTTCCTTCCTTCCTGCTTTTTTCTTTTTTCCCAGGTGGACGGCCATGTTCTCCAAGGAATTTCGGTCACGGTTCCTTGGTGTGTGAATGCGGGGCCGATTATTGTGACACCCTGGAGCCCGTCACTCTCCCTGACACGGGGTCTTTTGTGAAGTACGAAAGCAATAAAGCCGGACGCCGCGTGGAGCGCAGCGAGGGTCCCCTGCTGGAGAAACCCCCTGAGAACGGTGAGGCTGGATTAGACCCACAAGCATGCTTTTACCCCAGGAAATCCGGGTTCTTATCCTCCTAAGAACCCTGCGAGGTAGGCCTGGATGACATAGCGCACAGTTCTCGACTGAGAGCCAATTTGGTCTAGTGGTTAAGGCACCGGGCTTGAAATCGGGAGATGGTGAATTCTAGTTCCACCTTAGCATGAAAACCAGGTGGGTGACTTTGAGCCAATCGCCAGGAGACTGGGAGTTCTAGTTCCGACCTAGCCATGAAAGCCGGGTGACTTTGAGCCAATCACCAGGAGACTGGGAGTTGTAGTTCCGACTTAGCCATGAAAGCTGGGTGACTTTGAGCAAATCACCAGGAGACTGGGAGTTCTAGTTCCGACTTAGCCATGAAAGCTGGGTGACATTGGGCCAATCACCAGGAGACTGGGAGTTCTAGTTCCACCTTAGCATGAAAACCAGGTGGGTGACTTTGAGCCAATAACCAGGAGACTGGGAGTTCTAGTTCCGACTTAGCCATGAAAGCTGGCTGGGTGACATTGGGCCAATCACCAGGAGGCTGGGAGTTGTAGTCCTAATTTAGCCATGAAAGCCAGATAGGTGACTTTAGTTCAATTACCAGGAGACTGGGAGTTCTAGTCCCACCTTAGCCATGAAAGCTGGCTGAGTGACATTGGGCCAATCACCAAGGGACTGGGAGTTCTAGTTCTGCCTTAGGCTGGATGGCTTCGGGCCAATTTTGAGAATTTTGGAAAGCTTTTCATAACAAATAAATTTCATACGCATTCCTTATATAGAGAATCCCAGCCATCAGTTTACTAATTTATGAATGTATTGAACTTAGATGCTATCCACCTCGCTATTCAAATAGGTTCTTAACCACCTCCACAAAAAGGCTAGACCTGTTTAGTTTTAATCTGGTTTGAATCTGGAAGGAAGGATCGGCACGGTTTGGTGCCAACCCAAAAGCCGCCATCAATTTGCTAAACCCGTTAAGCCTGTTATGCAAATGTCGTAAAAAAAAAAAAGAACAATTTAATGACCGGGTGGGCGTGCGAGGGAATATGTAAGCATCATCCTGTATTAAAACTGGATTGTTTTTTTTTTCTTTTTCAATTCCTCCCTTCTCTTTTCTTCCTTTGACTAGATAATCTGGTTCTGAAGCTGAAGACATCACAGAAATATCAAAAAATCAAGGGTTTTGGGGGAGCCCTCACTGATTCAGCTGCCATTAACATCCTGAATTTGTCCCCCAAAAGTCAGAGAAACCTGCTCAAATCTTATTTCTCCAGTGAAGGTCAATTTTATTTACTTGCTTACTTGTCTATTACCGCAGGGAAACATCAAACAGAATAGTTGGATTTTTATTTTTATTTTTATTATTATTATTTATTCCCACCTTGGATTCAGCAGTTCCTCGCATAATCCCAGTTTAAGTAATGTTATTTAAGCATTTTGTGTGGGCAGGACAGCACTCAAAGGGAGTTTCTTGGTGTGGCCGACAATTCCCAGTGGGTTCTCAGGGCCTCGTCAAGACACGAAGTCTGCTGCTAGTCCTCAGGACCACAATTGGTACTTATTGCCAAGCAAGACACGCTAAGTGAATGTACCAGCTTTTATATTGTGGTTTATGTCTAAGCCGCTTTTTTTTCAGTGCGGTGGTAAAGTTGGACAGTCACTAAATAAAACTAAATAAATCAAGGACTACCTAGAGGGGGGGGTTGCTGTCCGTGGTCCTGAAACCAAGCCAACTTGGCTAAGGGCAGAGGCGTTGTCCGAGGTGCTGAAATCAATCAATCCGAATAGAAGTGGGACCTTAGAGGTCTTCTAGTCTGACCTTTTACTCTTTCAGACAAAGGACTGTCCAATCTCTTGTTAAAAGCCTCCAGTGTCGGGAGCACCTGCAGCTCCTAGTGGCAAGCTGTTCCACTGGTTCATTGTCCTCCACGTTCAGGAAGTTTCTCCTTAATTCCAGGTTGCTTTTATCCTGGAATAGTTTCCATCCCTTGCTTCTTGTCTTGCCTTGTGGTGCTTTAGAAAATAAGTTGACCCCCACCTCCAAGATCTTTTTGGATCCTGAGCTTTGGATCCTGAGGGTGTTGGCTACTCCTGTCAGCTTAGTGTCATCTGCAAATCGGATGAGTTCTCCTTCCATCCCCTCATCTAAGTCATTTATGAAGATATTGAAGAGTAGATTAACGAATGAATCCTTCCCTCATATTCCCTCCTCATCTTCGGCATGGACTACAGCTCCCATCCTCCCCCCCCCATGGTCTAACTTGGCTGAAGAGGGGGAATTCAGCCCTTTGGGGGCCAATTTGCAAATCTTCTCTTTTTGAACGCAGGGATTGAATATAGCTTGGTCCGTGTGCCCATGGCAAGCTGCGACTTCTCCGTGAGGCTCTACACCTACGCCGACGTGGAGAACGATTTTGACCTCAAGAATTTTAGCCTGACGGACGAAGATATCAAAATGAAGGTAGGTCATCTATGATCAGCAGAAATATATCTATATATAAGCGAAAGGCCCCTCATGCATCATCACAAAATCTCCAGCATCGTAAAGCCTACAAACTTGAAATTTGGCACGTATGTTCCTCTTGGCTTCTAGGGGCTCACTAAGAAAGGATTTTTTCAAAATGACCCTCAGAGCATTTAGAGTATTTCCTGTATTATATTATTATTATTATTATTATTATTATTATTATTATTATT